AATCTTCCTTTTAATAGAAACAATGTGGGAAATGAGATGATTTGTGGAATGTTTTTGTCTGTTTAAATCTTTGCTTTCCATGGAGTACAATAGGGTTTGTCCATCCTGCTCTCTCATCCAGCTGCCCTTGTAGGAGCTGAACTTGCACTGCGGAATTTGCTCTTGCAGGAGGAAGCAGCGTTCCTGACTTTCACTGCTTCAGGGCCAAATGTGGAAGACATCATTTAATGCGGGAGGAATCCTTCTTAATCCTCTAATCTGACCTTTTACATAACGTGCGTGGAGAATCTCACCCAATCACATCTGCACCAAACTCAGGCATTTCTGACGTCATTTTCTTTTAAGCATTTGTTATTCCCACACACTCTGGTAAATCTTTAAACAGATCTACTTTTTTTTTTTTTTCCTTGCTTGCTTTCTTTCCTCTAGTGTCTGGGAAGAAAAACAAGGAAAACAACCATCAGTGCTTTCAAATGTAATTTATTTAGTTAAATTTATGGGTAGCTGCACAGGAAAGCATGCAAAAAATGAAGACTGATTATTAAGATTTATTAAGATGTACTTGCTGTAGTCTTCCTCTTACTTCCCAGTGCAGGAAGCCGGGTGCAAACAGGTCTGCTTTCCCTCCCATGGGGAGATGCACAATGTTAGCACTGCAATAAGAGCCTGCTGGTAGCGTAAAATCTTCCCCCATTGCCTTCAGGATCCTGCGGGTGATTCGTTCTGGTTCTCCTCCTGAGCTAAACAAAAATAGGGTACTTAAAAAAAAATAAAAGAAAAAAAAAAAAGAACCACCTGGGCTGTGTGTCTGGGCGCAATGAAAAGCGAGTCCCACGGCAAAGGAAGCCGGAGGAGTGGCTGAATCAACAAACCTCCAGATAGCGCAGATAGCGCGGCCGGGAGCGTGTCTGCCTAAAGGGGCAACCCCACCACATTGCTAGGGAAGTCCTAATAGCCCAAATATAGATCCGCCGAGATCCCACGTTGCTCTTCCTGACTGCTCATCTGCCCTCGAGAGTTTGGGCTGTTACTAAAAACAGTGACAGCTGGCTCTTTTATTTTCTCCTTTTTTTTCCCCTCATTTTTTTTCCCTTTTCTTTCCTCTTTTTTTTCTTTTTTTCTTTCTTCCTTTTTTTCTCTCTTTTTTCCTTCCTTTTTTTTCTTTTTTTTTTTTTTTTTTTTTTCCCTCTTTTTTCTTTCCTTTCAGGGTTGGAAATCACCGATCTTTATGCACATCACCATGTTCTCTTCATTACTAGCAGGCATCAGATCCTGATTTCAGCAAAACACTGGCAGAACAACTGCAAAGTCCACCAGTCGATTCAGCAAGCTTTGGAAAATGGGCTATTTTAGCAGCCCTCATGGTAATTCTTTTAAATCACATTAGCAATCATCATCTGAGTGTCACGATGTGTGCTCAGCAACACACAAAACAAGAAGAAAAGTCCTGACCCTGAATTTCATAACTTCTTTTTTGTAACATGGTCTACTGGGGGAAAAAAAAGTTGTAAAAAGAATAATTGGCAAAATTAATTAAATCAGATGGTTCTATATGGTTGCAGTGGGCTGGACTTGGTAAGCCAGGACTCTTAGGCCTATTTTCTGAATTATAAATTTTAAAAAATGACTCAAAATGATTGCAAAGGATTCAAGTAACCCAGCATCCTGAGACTGACAGCATGCCTTATTTCAGAGGAAGATAAAAGAAACCCTTATGGAAGAGTTATGGGTTATTGTACCCGCAAAGAAATTTCCTTCCTGTACCATATTACTTGGAAGTTTTGTTTTGAAGCATGAAGGTTCATATCCTTTCTAAAATTGCCTTTTTTTTTCCTGTTCTCAGTATTACACAACTGCACAACTATCCCTAAATCCCTCTAAACCATCATCATTAATTCTCGCCTGCTGAAAGGAGTTCAAGATACAATGCACAGTGCAGAAAACCGTGCAGTCTCCTTACACCCAGTTAAGATCAACACTGTTCGGTATTATTTATGATATCCTAATACTGGGAAAAGGGGGCTTGGTCTACTTTCTGTATCCAGCTCATTGCTTTGGCTGTCTCAATTTTGCCTCTTGTGTGAGGCTGATGATTGTTTTTTTTCCCAAAGAACACATTGAAGGCAAGAGTGGACAAGGTTTGGGCACACCTAGAATTGGCCCTGACCCCCAAGGTAAGCAGCACTAGGCTACTCACATCCACCCTACTTGGGCTTTTTCCTCATATCTGATGACTGTATTGGGCAGAGAGCGCCCAGCCTGGCACAATCACATTTACGCTGCTTCCTGGGAGCGATCTCTAAGGTAAACCCAACCACACCTGGGTTTTGCCTCAAAGGGAACTGGGTGAAAGCAATTATGGTCGTTTGGAGCTGTGGTACATGTTATGCAAGGCTCTCCCGAGGTGTGTCTTGAAGCCTGTAATCGGAGCAGAAGCAAAGGAGAAAAGGAGGGCAGGCAACCCAGCAGTGCTACAAGGCACATGCTGAAACTCCCACTCCCCTATCCCCTTTTTCCTTGGCCTTGCTTAGAGGTTTTTTTCTTCCCACTTCAGTCTCCGTCGGCAAGGCTCTTTCCAGCACTAGGAATGTTCCCATTTTGGAGGCGATAGACATCTGCTGGGGAAAAGCCAAGGGACGAGCCAACTCTCCGGTATCACTTTGGAAACCCAGCTGGGAAGGAAACGGGTTTTCCTTGTAGGTCCAGGCAAGGGCTGTGCCTAGTTGGGCAGAAAGCACAGAAATCCACAGAGCTAAGATGATGCCATTTCTCCTAAAAAGCAGTATCAGTTTTGGAGGGATCTCTAAATCCCACACAGCTGACCAGTCACTGTCCTGTTGTCTCATGTGAGCAACGGAGGGGAGATGGATGGAAGAGGAAGAGGATCAGCACTGGGACAAGACCTTCATCTTCTCAGCTATGGACCAACCCTACTTTCTCCTCAGTATCATCCCAGCTACCAGCACCTTTGGTCTTCATCTCCCAGAAGCACAGCATCATTCCTGTCTCCCATGTCCTCCAAGGGCAACAGTAATTTAGCAGACCTGTTCTCCTTGAGTCCCATCTAGTCCAAGGGTGAGGTGGGTGAGAGGAGGAAGCAGTGGTGCTAAGGTGTGATGCATCTGCACACCCACATGTAGCTGCTTTCAGACATGCTGGTGTAGGGGTGCCACGAAGCTCTGCACAGGCCAGAGTGATCTTATCTGAGCTGGAAAGTCCCATTCTCACCCCATCTCCCAGCTCTCCCGTTCCCTCCATGAGGCTCCCATTTGGAACCACACTGCTTCTTTTGAGCTCGTAAACCCACAGAACTCAGGATTCTTGGCAGTCCTGGGAAATAAAGTCCACCTAAACAAGCTGAGATGAAGACTGGAGAAATGGGCATCCTTATTAACAGATTAAGCAGCCCCTGGAAAGGTTCCTGCCTTTTGATAGTGTGGATTTTGGCACAATCTGATGCAGGTGGCATATACCTTTCTCAAAAATTTCACAGGCATAAGCTAAGGAACCAGAGACTTTTCCTCAAAAGCAGCAATGATGCAAATACCTTTTTTTCTGGATCCCAAGAAAAACTAGTGATAGGAACATGTGCCTGCTGGCTTCAGTGTCAGTGAAGAGACCAAGGTGTCTCTACTGGTTTTGACCCTGGTGTTGTTTTATTTTCTGGTGGGAATTCTACCCTTTAAGATAAGTCTGTGCTACCTTCATAGACTGACCTTTATTCCCTAGGCTGGGGTAGCCTGGCTCAAGACCTCACCAGCAAAATCAGGGGGTTTGTCCCTCCTGGGAGCTCAGGCACCAGGCAAGGATGGCCAGGAGCTACAGATTTTGCAGAGAAACAGGGAAGTTATCACTTTGACAGTCTACAACCGACTCTAACAGCATTTTTTTATCTCTCTTTTCCTTGTTCTTACCTCCACTGGGGTAGGCTTGGTCATAGTGTAACACATATCAAGACTAAGTGCGATGGTTTACTGTAAACAGCTGCCCTAGCAATCAGGGCTGCAAAATGTGGGATTTTACAACCCCTGTCTGCGCTCCTGTGGAGCTGTCCCTATCTGCCTTGCGTTGTGCAACACCCTGTGCACAACCCCCACGGCTGTTGCTGGCTGTCCTTCTCCACCCTTCTCCGAGAAACCACCTTTTCTGAGCAACTCCTTCCCACGCTTCCTCCAAAACACTGGGTTTTAGGCTCAGTTTTTGCCCATTTTGTCAACATTTCAGTTTCTTAATCTGCACCCCCCTGGTCACAAGATCTGTAGTGGAGCACCACACACACGGGCATCTCTGCAGGCTTCGGATGGGATCCAGAACAAGGGTAAAATGAAGCAATGGACATGAGTCAGTGCCCCTAATCCCATGGAAACACCATGAGGAGCGATGGTTCCTCGTGAGGATGGTTTGTCCTCATGGCAACAACTGCAAGATTTAAGGTCTAAACATGGGGATGCAAAGAAGCACATCTGGACACAGGGGCACCCTGCATTTCCTCTAGCTCTCCCAAAATACCCAAATTTGGATGTTTCCTAACGAATCTGGTTTATAAAGATTTATACAAAGGCCGTAGGAAATGAAATAGCCTCCATGTTGCACAAACACCTGAAGGGCTCCACCTCAGCGCATCACTCCTTAAGGAGAACTGTTGCCTTAACGCACAGACGGGTGTACACGGGCAGCCGGGTGACAATCCAGGTGTGTGCGGGGTGTGAGGTAAAGTTGTAAGGTGGGGTGGGCGGGGGTGTACGACTGTGTGGGGGGTGACTGTCGTGGCCTCCCTGTGTTTGTGTGTGTGACTGTCGTTGCGTGCGACTGTCGCTGTGCGTGACTGTCGCTGTGTGTGACCGTCCGTGTGACTGTCGCTGTGTGTGGGTGTCCGTGTGCCTGTCGCTCCCCGTGAGGCGAGGCCGCGGCCGTTGGCGCCGCCTCAGGGCGGGCGCGGGGCGGTGTCGCGGCGGGGCATGCGCGGGCCGCCCGCTGCCCTGAGGCGGCGGCGGCGGCTCCGCGCCGGCACCGGCACCGACACCGGCACCGACACCGGCACGGCGGGGTGAGTGTGTCCCGGGACCCGCTCTCCTCGGCGGCACCGGCACCGTGTCCGCCGTGAGGCGCGGCCGCGCGGGGATGGAGGCTGCGAGCGCTGCCCCGCTTCTCCCCCCGCTCCATCATCACCTCCCCCGGGAGAAACTTTGGGGGTTCAAACCCTCTGCGCGTGGAAACTCCTTCTTTACACCCCTTCTTATTGTAATGAAAATATTTTTTTTTTTCTGAGGAAATATAGAGGGAGAAACACCCCTAGGCTGAGGTGGCTGTGAGGACGTGCGTTTCCATTCATGCTATGCACAAAAAATATGCTAAAAAATCTTTATAAAATATTAATTATGATTATTTTCTATTATATTTTATTTCTTTAACAAGAGACTGGCCCCGCCGAGCCTGGCGTGCCTGGCGTGGCGGTGCTGCCGCAGCGGTGACAGCGGCGGTTGCCTGATGGATACCCCGGTATTTTCTCCTCTGATGGATACCCCGTTACTCGGGTTTTTTTCTCCCCTTTGGGGCTTTTAGGAGAAGAGCCTGGGGCAGCTCGTGTCCCGCTTGTGCTGCTGTGGGAATCGGAGTTTGGGCTGGTGGCGGGTCCTGTGCGGCGTTTACCTGGTGGCTGCAGCACGTGGGGTGGGTTATTTATTTGTGATATATGCAGTGATACCAAAGTTGAACCTATCTCTGTCATTCTCCCCATCGACTTCAGTGAGCTCTGGGCTTGGCCCTCCATGGATTCGGTATTCCACGTTGTTGTGGGGGGGATATTCCATATTTATGGCCATCTTTGTGCTTTGCTATAGTGGACGCATACATTTTTCGTAACCTTGGGAAGAAATCCAGCCCTCGCTCACAGTGCCCAGGGGCTCCTCATGCCTCCCGGTGCTCCCACATGTGGGTCCCTGCAAGAATAAAAGCTCATCTCAGCTTCCCTTTAGGGGAACACGGCAGCACTGTCTCTTTGCATCCTAAGGACCTGTTCATATTTGCATCCCAAGGTCCATCTGGGAAGTGTCCTGCTCCTTCCTGAGGGTGCTGACGATGACTGTAAGGACAAGTCCACAATGAGTGATGTTTTGCCCTAAATCGTCCAGCCTCCCAACCTCTATGTCAAGAGGCTTTTGAACAAGTGTTTCAGATATATATTTTTTTCTTTCTGTATTTGTTTTCAATGGACATCAGAGGACACTTATTACACAGCTTTGACCTCTGTTTTTTTTTCAAATCCAGCAGCGAGGAGATGCATAGTTTAACTGTGAGGTGTGAGGAGAACCACCTCCTTTTGTTTGCTTTGGACCTGCTAGCTGCTGGTCTCCTCTGATTACACCCGGCTCATGTCTGTGAAGGGCCAATGAACAGTTCGTGCTCTCCAGGCCTCTCCTGGATTTCTCTGCCATATTCCCCATATTTCCCATCTATCTGCTTCTTTTTTTCCTTGATTTTCATGGCTGAAAACACCAGGGTTGTCTCCTACCTTCTGGGAAAAAAGAAAAACCAGCAATAGACTGTTTTGAATCATTCCAAACCAGTACCAAATATATGTATATATTCATATGTCATGTATTTTATATATATATATATAAAATATACATAATTTTATATATATATGTTTGCATTAACACCAAGCAGTCATTTGCTGTGCATCGATGTGACTGTCTTCACCACGAGCACAATTAAGCACAGAGCTCACCTGGGCTGAAGGCGACGCTTTTGCTGCTGCTCGGACACGGTAGCCGGTGGCGCTGGAGCCCGTGGCCCTGCATCAGACGCTAATTTAATACCCCTGCATCTCCACCACGCGGGCTGTTTTGCTGGAGCGAGGCCGAACGCTGCCACGGCTCTGCTTGCACAGCCATTTTCATGCAGCGAAACCCTGTGCTGTGAGGAGAGGAGCGTAGCCGCGCTGGCACGTAGCTGATCTGCTTTTTTTGGAGCGCAGGGCAGACCCCAGGGCTTGCAGACCGCGCTTGGGGAACCACAGGGCGCTCTTAATCTGCCCCAATACGTCCTTCTGTTAAATGACAGCCTGGCATCTCCCTGGGGCTCCGTGTTTCCAAAGCGGGGACACTGAAAGCAGCAGCCGGTACTGCTTCTTGTGGTATTATCCCCTTGGTTTATCCGCCTGTCCTGTAGGACCACAAGCTTTGCCCACCTCCAAGGCTGCAGAGGTATGTGTGGACTGTAATTAACTGCTAAAATCCTGCGGGGCTTGTGTTTTAGCTGCATGTTGAGCAGACTTCCTAGCCGGATGCTCTATAAAGTAAGTCTGCGCTACGATGATTTGTTCTTTGCAGCGTGGCCGCTTTCCCTTTCAGCCTCAAGGACTGTTGCAGCCCTTCAGAGAAGACAGCAGTTCTGTTCCTTCCTGTAGGTTCATACCCTTTCAGCCAGAACCAAAATTTCCCAAACTCAGACCCTTCCTTCTTGTTCAGCTCATGAGCCTTGCAAGGGATGTGTGACCAAGACGTGTGTCTTAGCACATGCCTTTTTATAGCCCTGTGTAGTTGCTGTCTGGTGCCTTTGGGGCTGTTGAGAACTGCCTGAGTGAAGGTCATGGCGTGAGAGAGAGGAGGGGGATTATGTGATGCTACCTCAGCGGTGGCCATAAATTTGTTCATGAAAAAGGGTGAAATACGCACCCAGTGCTGTGCAGGAGTGAAATCCAGCAACTCTATGTGTTCTAAGTCTGTGTTTGCTCGCTGTTAGGGCGGGTGGTGGGTAACTGTAAACGATGTAAGAGCCTGCTTTATATCTCAGTGTTTGTGTGTGTGTTGAGACGGGGCTTACACGTCGCGAGCATTCTTAGAAACACACAGAACTCATCAGGCCAAACCACAGACCGTTACACATTTCCTCCTGCTTACCCGGTGAAGGTGGTGTTTAACAGCCACACTTGCTTGTAGGGATTCCTGTTCTCCAGGCATCACTGCTCTCATTTATTGACATTGAAGCCGTGCCGGTGGCCTCTGGCCAAGGCCAGGCGTGTGTCGCTGCGGCACTGCGGACGCGCAGGCCTGGCCCGGGTGCTGCAAGGCTGAGCAACGTGCTGCAAGTACAAGCGAGCAGGGCAGGGAGCGGCTGAGGATGGGGAGAACTGCGAGCGGGGTCATGTGGCTGCGCTTGCAGCTACTTGTACGACGCGGTGATCGAGGCAGGTAGCAGCTTTATATTTAGCTACCGGTGTGCGTTGTGCTTCCCTCCTCTGGGGTCATTCTCCAGGCCTTCTAAATGCGCTGTTCTTGGATGCTGAATTAATTCTTCCAAAGTGGTAAATGCCCTGAAAGGCTGCTGGAGGCTGTGATTTGCAGGGCTGAGCTGTATGTTGTCATACCTGAGGTGCCCTGTCCTGAGGACACAGACAGGGAGCAGCGAAACCTTCCTCACAGTTGGTTTTTTTTTTCCAGGGGGCCCTCAGAACAAGTAGGGATTTAAGCAGGGGATGCATCACAGCTGGCATCCTTAACAGGCCTGATGGTTTTGGCTTCCTTTACATGCTCAGATCACTTGTTTACAGGGGTCTCTGCTGTCTGTTCCTTGCTTTTCCTTGCTAGGGCCTTCGCAGCCCCTTGGAAGGATAACGCTGCTCTCCTCACAAACATTGACGTTCATAGAGGAGGCCTCCTGGCTAAACTGGAGGAGGTCCCAGATGGGGGCTCAGGATAGCAAAGAGCTTTAGTGCAGGGAGCCCAGAGCTCACAGCTCGAGGTGCTGGCACAGAGCTGCTGTTTCTCCCTGGCAGCCTGCTATATGCCTGCAGCACTGTGCATGATTTATATACATTTTTTTTATAATGACTGATGCTCTAAAATCTGCAACCTTAAAAATCTTTTTGTGCAATGAGCTTTTGTGGACAGCAACACGCAAAACTAAGTAGCCACAGCCTGTAGGCTGTGCAAGATCTTCCAGCAGGGCTCAATATCCCTAACTTTCACGGCACACACAGCTCGTTTTGTTTGGTTTCTCTGCCTTTAGGCAGATTGTTCTTGGGTTGTCCTGTCAGTAGATCTGTAAGGGTGAGAAAAGATTAGCTGGTTTATAAAATTCTCCCTGTGCTGGTAGGAGTTCATGTCTGCAGCAGCTCTTTCCCATGGGCATTGCAGGAAGAAATTTAGGAGGTGAAAGTAGGATGTAGCTGAAATAAATTCAGATGCCCACACATGAGCTCCTTACCTCAGCTGTGTCTCCTCTTGCAGTGAATGAGAAAAATAGAGGTGTTTCTTTGGTGTGATTCATCTCATTATAGTTTTGACATGTGAAATAGGTCAGCTCAGATACATTTTCATGCTGCCTGCTCCTCTCCAAAGATGTGTCCTGCACTGACTGGCTTAGATACGTATGTTTATGTTGAAGTGCTCAGTGAAAGGAATCCTCCCATCAAAATTAACCCTCTCCCTTCACTCTGTCAGCCTTTCACCCTTAAGCAAAGGTCCAAGTGACCATGAACAGTCAGGCCCTCAGGACAGCCTGAGACAGCTCAGTGCAATCTAGGACTCTTAAGTCACTTTTTCTTCAGTGTTTTTTGAGAAGGGAGATGGGTGGAATTTCCCCTGGATGTAAGTTCAAGCCTATGTCCCACAAAATGTTGCACATTCTGTCACACTCAGCAGCACCCTGCTTGTGCCTGGGGCAAAGAGGCTGAGCTTGGATATGGCCCATGCAAACAACTTCCAGTCTGCTCCATTGGTGGTCCCTGCACTACTCAATACAGCAGGCCAGAGTCTAGTCCCTGGTTTCAGGATAACCGAGAGGGTACAGATCGTGTCCTTGTGCCTAAACTCTCCTCTCCATTTCGAACAGGGTGGTTGTGCCCAAGTTGCCCATCAGCAACAGTCCTTGGATGGACCACAGCTGTGACCACGAGTGTGCTGACACTGCAGCAACCTGGGGCAGCTGCAGGTCATCGATCAGGACTGTGCCCTCATCTCCTTTTATTGCTGATGTACTGAAAGCCTGTAAGTCAGGGTGTCCCACTCGGGGATCTCACATCTATCCAGAAACTCAGAGTTAAAA